ATCTCATTTACATGAGGTGTATAGAACATGCTCTAAGACTAAGTTATACCATGACCCTAAGCGTGTTCACTCTCTTAGCAAATGTGCTCAGGATTGGAGCCTTAATGTTATGTGTGCATAAAACATCCTTTCATTGTAAACATTGTGACCGGTCAAGAGTCCTGATATTTAGAGTGGCATAATCTATATCTAACAATAGATTTTTGTTAATAGGATCCTGGACACAAGTTCAGGAGTGTTGTGTTTTTAAAGACCAGCACCATTAACCTTGGTGCAGCACTTCATTGTGTTTAATTAGCAAGCTAATGAAGACCGGCTCCTTCCTTCCTTCAACCACAAGAGGATAAATGCAGGGCTCTGGGAAAAAGAGGAGACTTACCTGTTTGGAATTCAATTCATTGCTGTGTAATGAAATATTTATCAAATATATACCCTAAGTTTTGCAACACTTCAGCAATATGGGCTCTGTACAACAGAACTCCTTTTTCTATAAACCGTATTATATCATGGGGCTTTATTGTGGAGGGTGGAGATGAACACAATGTCTGAACATTTGGGCTGCAGGGAAATTTGCAAACAAAACACGAGGCATGAACATAATGTTTTCATCAACATATCTTCAGATACTAAAAAAAAAAAAATTCAAAGTACACAACAGTGTTTTTGCTGCTGCTGCTGCTTTTTAAAAAGTGACAGACTGTCATGTTTCACTATTTGTAGCAAGTTATTACTAGAAACCATCCCCACACATGCAGCTGAGGTCAAGCTGCTTTTAAATAGCCCACTCTTTTCTCAAAGTACAAAAAAATACCCCATTCACCTAATCTTCCGACAAACTACAGTACAATCTTGGTACCGAGTTTTCATCAGTACCAACAGCTTCTGCTTAGTTTTATTAACTGCGTCTCCTAGAGGGCTAGAAGGCAGGCCTGTTCCAAATCAAAAACACATATACCATATTTTTTAATTAAAAAAGAGACAGCTGAGGCCATTCATAAAAACAGATGTACGGCAGTGTTCACCCACTTGCCGATTCAACTGACCACCCTGGAAAGAATCTCACAATACACACGAAGCCTGTCTTTCCTTTTTTCCCTTTTAAATTACACTTCCTAAAAGTCAATAAAAGCATTTCCCTCGAAGCAAACCGCCAAGTGGTTTTGGACCGCGAGGTCAACGGGACTCACTCCCAGGTAAGTACATACAGGATTGCAGGCTAAAAGGCAACTTTCAATTTGTTCCTACTACGAGTGCAAGTGTGATGTACTGTACTGTTCCCGGTTATGTTTTAAACAACAAAGCAGTAGAGCCGCAAGCCTCTTATCTGCAAATAAGCACACAGGACTACAGCTAACAAGAAAAGAAAATAAATACGCACACAGAGAGAAACAAATCGTCTAAAGATTGCCCCTGTATACAAAACCCTGCTTCCAACCAGCAGAGCGGTGTATGGTTACAAGAAGGCTAAATTTCGTGAGTAAAAACACAAGCACATATCCCTAGCATTGTTGTCCAAAGCTACCCTGCTCCTTCCAGAAATATCTGACTGCACAGAGAGCTCCCATGAAAAAAGGACCACTTACTACCCCTTCACAACAAGGAGACAAAGATCTATGCAAATGCACAACCCTGTTAGACAAATGCATTGTTGCTTTGATCACTACCACATATCAGGGGTTGTTGTTTATATATTTATATATAAAGGCACCCTCCCTCTCCCCTTTCAGTTTGATTGAAGGAGTGGGGCGGGTGTTTGAGAACCAGGCAGGGGGGAGGGGGGAGGAAATAAGAGCTATCACTGTTTACAATACAGCACACAAAAACGGGGAGAAAGAGAGAAGCCTGTGACAGTGAATATATAATAGGTACCCTGAACAAAGGAACACCATCCAAGGAACAGCCACTGCCGCCGCCGCCGCCGCCACTTTGCTGGTTTTAACCCCTCCCCAGGATTTCAGAGCACATTCCAAAACAAACCCACAAAGGCAGAGGGAATCATTGTCTTTCGGAAAACAAGAGGGAGAAAATGGTTAAATGCAAAATGGGGGAGGGGAAGGGAGACGGTTCTGTTCCAATACATGGCTTCTTCGCTCCCCTCTCTCTCTCTCTTTCTCACTTTGCTTAGATATGATTTAAACACAACCCCAAAGGAGGTTAAGAAAGGCGGTGCCTGAATGAGTCCCCTTCATCTTTCAGGCTGCACGCGGTGTGTAAAAAAAAGAGAGAGAGATGGGGAACAACAGCTGCAGCAGCAGCAGCACACCCGGTTTAAAACCAGCAGCCTTTGCTGCTGCTGCTGCTATGATATTATACAATACACCCAAAGCAAGCCAAAAAAATAATAATATGCCTGCTTTTCTCCATGCTTGGTGTAAAGCGTGACAAGTTACTACACAGGAGGAACCTTAAAAAGAGAGCAACGCGGAGGGAGGAGGGAAGCTAGCAAGGGAGGGTGCTGCAGGCAAACAAGTTGGGGGGCAAAAGCTACGTGTCCCTCCCCACCCCACACACGCGTGATGTGCGAATTAGCCCCCTTTTCCTGACGCTGGCAAGAATGGGGCGGGCGGAGGAAGCTTGCTAGTGTGGGAAAGTGGGGCTGGAGAGGAGGACGCGAGCTGCCGCTGCTGCTACTGCTGCTTTAAAAGATACAAATCAATCCCTCCACGCCATGCTGCTTGCTATGGGGCCGGGCAGTTACGTCAGCGCCTGTTATTATTCCGTGGCCACGAGATTGGTGCGGGTTCTTGTGCGCGCGCTGCGTTTTCGTCGGTGGGGACGGCGATCGCCGTCCACGTTTCTTCACAGAGCCAGGCCCCCACCCCCACCACGAAAAAATAAAAATCAGGGGCGAGATTTTCTCTCTCCCCCCAAACCACTCCCCCACCTCCTAAAAGCCATCAAAACAAGGAGGAACAACAAAAGCAAGGCGAGGAGCCAGCCATGGCTCCGGCGAGCAGATCGCGAGGAAGGAGAGAAAGGAAAGAAAGGGCGCAACCCCCTCCTCCCTCCCTCGCCACCTCGAAACCCACCACCACCATCGCCTCCTCCTCCTCCTCCTCCCTCGTCCAGGAGAGGAAAGGCTGGGGATGGGAGGCGGGAAGAGAAAAGCAGATTTACTGCGGATCAATGTGGTGGCAACAATAAGGTTGCATTTCCATAACAAGAGAGAGGGTCTGGCACAAAAGTTGCAGCCCTGGGCTGCGAAACATCCATTGCTCGGGACTACAATACACATTCCCGTCCCCTTATTTAAACCGAGCTCTCTCCACCTCACCTCCCACCCCCACGGGAGGGGGGAGTGTAAAAAAGTAATTAAGAAGCCAGACAACGCTCAGGCTGGCACGAATGTAAATGAAGTTGCGCGCACGCACACGCACATGCACCCAACAAAAGCAAGAGAATTTAAGAAAAGAAAAAGCCAGGAGCCAAGCACAAGGCAATATAAATAAATTCCTTTGGGACAGTCACTTTGAGTTGAGGGGGGGGGGGAGGCCTTGCCAAGCCTCCCCTCACTTCTCCCTCCGATTGTTTACATTTGTAACTTTCATCGTGGCATGCTAATAGTAGGCAGGGTTTAAATAATAATAAAAAGCGGCTACCACGCTAAAGCGAAAGTTTAAAGTATCACAAAGGGGGCAAACACGAGAGGGGCGGGACAATATGTTCCCTTGTCCCCACCCTCTCCAAAATTCAATTAACTTACCTCCTGGTGTTTTACAATTAGTTTAAAAAGGAGGATCACCCTTTTTTGCAATACACTAACACAATCACAGCAAGAATAATGTGAACCATCTTTGCAAAAAGGCAACCCCCGAAATCTTGAGGAATCACAACATTTCACGAAGAGGCAGGTGAGAAAGGGGTTTGGATTTAAACGTGGGCAGCCTTTAAAACCTGTTAAAGCACGCTATTCAAAGGTGCCTTTTAAAAAGCAAAGTTGCACAGTATGTGTAAAATCTACCCCAAGGGAACTTCCGAAACAAGAGGACTGGGAAACAGGCTTTCAAGGGATCAAGTTTAAAATCAAAAGGGGGAAAGACCACAAGACTATAGAGAAATAGTAAAAATCCAAGGCCTGGAGTGTCGCGTGTGTTTTCACCCCGCAGAAAGATCTTTCCCCGGGGTGAAAACACACATGGCACTGGAGGCGAAGGGAAAACTCGGCACGTTTTATTCTCCGCCCCAAATGCCTCCTTTTCCAACTGATGTCAACTATTATCTTTGTTTCCAAATGCACGCCTCCAGACACCGAGCATTTCGGCAAGCACCCTTTTAAAAAATGATAATAATTATCCACCTTTCTGATCAATATCAAGCTGAGCAGAAGCCCCCTCCTTCGCGACTTGCAATTAAAACACGCGGCGAGAGAAAGGAAGGAGAGAGGCTAGAAAGCAAGAGGGGGGGGGGACACCAAAACACCACACGATTGCCACCAAATGCAAAGTTTTGTCGTTCTTTCCCCTTTAAAAAAACCAAAACTAACACGATTAACTCTTATGTTTCCCCCACTTCACGCGTTTTTGAAAAATTAACGTCTCCAGTGTATTTGTTCCTTTTAACACCATTAATGCTTGCAAGCCTTTTAATTTTTTTTAAAGAGGGGCTAGGGACAAAAGCGAAGTGCCCACCCCAAACTTTTTCGTTACTTACGTGTGCAGAAAGTCCCCCACAGGAAGGCGAAAGTTAACCACGAAACCATCATATTCCTTTTTCTCCTCGTGGCTATTGTTTACTCCTCCTCAGCAAGGAGGAGGGAGCGCGTAAAACGAGGGGCGAGGAGAAGAAATGAACGGGATACCGGGGAGAGAGCGAGAGAAAGACGGGATCTTTTCTTTAAAAATAGATAGATCTAAGATATAGGCTTTTAAAAAAAATAAAAATAGAAAAGGCTCCTTCTTAAGAACGACAATAATTTAAAAAAAAAACAACAACACAACGACACCGGAGATTAAATCCTTCACAGTTTCCAACAACGTATCCAAAGTCCGAGAGAGAGCGAGATGATTCAAAACGAGAGAAAATCCTCCAGACAGGTGGCTTCTGCTCCTGTCCGGTTGGGGGGCGCAAGGCTACAGGCGACCCCCACCAGGGCCAACCCCGAAATAAAGCTGGCCAAGAGTTTCTTCGCCGGGGTGGCGGTTGTGGCGCTGCTCGGAGAGCCAGGCGGGCGCGCAAAGCTTCCCTCGGCGACCTCTCCCCAAGAAGCCCTGGCCGGCCTTTTTTTCAGCAGTACCAGCAGGGGGGCCGAGAAGACATCCAAGGAGGGGGAGGGGGCACGACATGAACAGGAGAGAGAGACCGAGAGAGACCCCCTCTCCTCCGCGGAATTGTCCTCCTCTCTTTTTGTTTTCGAAAGAAGGCAATTCAAGGGAATCTCCCCTCGCCGAGGCGCAAGAGCGCGCGAGAGAGACCAGAGCGCACAGCCCAAGTCCGGCCACCTCTCTCCGAGGGAAAGAGCGAGGAGGCGGCAGAAGAGGCGACGCCGGAGCAAACTTTGCAATGGGGAGCCGCCGAGCGAAAGAGAGACTCCGCTGCCGCGCGAGGAGACGGAGGGAGAGCGCAGGAGCCGGCTGTGGCGGGGCTGTGGTGGTCGGTGGTGCCGAGAGAGCGAGGAGGAGGAGGAGGAGAGCCGCCGCCGCCGCCGCTTCTGCTGGCACCGCCGCTTCTGCTAGGGGCGCTGAGGACTGGCGGGTAGCGAGGTCCGCTCTGAGGCATCGCTCGTTGGCTTTGGCGCTCGGGGAAGGGGGCTGGCAGCGCGCGCGCCACAGCCGGAGCAGCAGGAGGAGGAGGAGGAGGTGGGGGGAGAGAGGAGGCTGGCGCTGCAGTTGCCATGTACAGAGGCGCGCTCCCGCCCGCCGGTGCGCGCGCGCGCACTCACACACACTCGCGCGCGCGCGCTTATATACATTACCCTTTCCCTCCCTCCCTGCACGCAGAAAACAAAACAAAACCCTGAGTCGATTCCAAAATGGCTTCTGCAATGGGGGGGATCTGAATTGGAGAGGAGATGGTGGGCGGGGGAGTGTTTGTGTGCATACATTAATATATATATTATGAGAATTATGAGAGATGGATCTAGGTATACAGTATGTATATGTACACAGACACGCGCGCACACACACGCACACAAGGAGCCTGGGGAAACCCGGATGTTTGATACAAAGAGAGAGAAGGGGAGGGAATCGTGGGGGGAGAGAGAGAGGCGGGACCAAGGAAGGGTCTTGGAGGATGCTTAGCCGATGACTGGGGGAGGGCGCCTGTTTGTCAAGGCGCACCGAGGGGGCAGGGCTCGGGAGGGGAGGCAAGGGAGGAGACCGGCTGCCAGGCAGCGCGCGAAGCTCGAGCAAGCGTGTTTCCCCCTCTCCTGCGCGCGACTCGGTCTTCAGGTAACCGATTCCCACGTTACGAAGACAAGCAAATGCGGGATTTGCCCCTGCGAGGCCAGAACGACCCTCGGAAGCGAGGGCCGGCGAGGAGCACCTGACTCGAGTGTCGGTCACACGAGTGCTGGCACGCGTTTGTTGTTGCGCGCACGCTTGGACGTTTGGAATCATGGTGCGCTTTGTAAGAATTGCTTGGAGTTGACCTAATGAGAGGCCACCCTGGTCTCAAAATGTAAGGTGCGAACCCGAATCCTGAATATTCCCTGGCACGCTCCTGGTGGAGGCCCCTGGACTGGCCCCTGACAGAATGCTAAATTGAGCGTAAATTGGGTGCAGGCCGGATGATTTAATCTACAGGAGCTTTGGCGTTGATAAGGCAGGGTGTGGACTGTATTAATGAACGCAGGGAGCTGAGGGAGAGATATGCCCCGGAGGCTTTTGATAATGCATTCTGGGAAACCTAGAAACGACCATCCTTTCCAATCGTGTATGTTCAAGCATGCAACCCAAGGGCATCTATTTCCTCATCGTTAGCCTTCGCAGGGTATGTGCGAAAAAATATCATCAATTTTTTTGTTCAGAAACCAGGTGATTTTTCTTTTGGTAAGCTCTCCTCTTTATCAGAAAGCTCATTTCCACTACTGCCCTTAAGCTGAAGTTCTGTGCCATTTAGTAACAGGCAAATTACATTTGACCGGACGAACATATATAATGAAGCTCCGGCTTCAAAAATAAAATAAAACGTTGCCCTGGGAGGAGGGAGTTTCTAGCGGATGGTACTTCACCCTTCCGTGCCAGACCATTTTTCCAGCTCCAGATTGTTTATTCCAGCTCCATTTCATCCAAGACGCATGCCTATCCTTAGAAACAGGCATCTGGTGCCCCATAGAAAGAAAATGCAGCTGGATCGATAGGGAAGGAGCAACTTTGCTTAGAAAAACAAAAAAACGATAAGAGGTGTATAAAAATTATACATGGTGTGAGGAAATTAGACAGAGATATGTTTTCGGCCCTCTCCAGTACAGTGGTACCTCAGGTTACATACGCTTCAGGTTACAGACTCCACTAACCCAGAAATAGTGCTTCAGGTTAAGAACTTTGCTTCAGGATGAGAACAGAAATCGTGCTCCAGCGGCTCAGCAGCAGCTGGAGGCCCCATTAGCTAAAGTGGTGCTTCAGGTTAAGAACAGTTTCAGGTTAAGAACGGACCTCCGGAACAAATTAAGTACTTAACCTGAGGTACCACTGTACTACTACAACACTGGGGCAATCCAATGGAGCTTGAATGTCTGCAAGATTTGAGATAGGCAAAAGAAATGATAGCAAATAGTTAAACTTTGGAATTCTGTCCAGCAAGAGCCAGTGGTGACCACCAAGTCTGATGGCTTTGAAAGAGGATTAGGCAAATGCATGGAAGATAAGGCTATCCATCAGTGGCTACCAGTTATGATAGCTATGCTGTGTCTCCACAGTCTGAGGAAGCCTGCCTCTTAATACCAGTAACTGCAAATTGCAGAAGAGAAAAGTTCTGCTAGCTTGCTGGTTTCCCACAGCGGTCTGGTTGGCCACTGTGAGGACAGGGTGCTGGAGTAGATGATCCACTGGCAGAAATCTTCCTACCTTCTTACCATCCTGAGGCTGTTTTCTTGTTATAAAAAGTCGTGCCTCCTTTAACACAAGCATCTGTGTACAACATGCAGCTTGCCCCTCTGTACCCCCACTCTTCTTAAGGGCGCAAAGTTGGTAGCAGCAATTACCGTATTTTTTGCACCATAACACTCACTTTTTTCCTCCTAGAAAGTAAGGGGAAATGTCTGTGCGTGTTATGGAGGAAATGCCTACGGGTGGCATGCCTACGGATTTTCCTCCTCTAAAAACTACGTGCGTGTTATGGTCGAGTGCGTGTTATAGAGCGAAAAATACGGTAAATAAAACAAAGCACAGAACAGAAACAAAACGTCCAGTTGAATTTAGAATGATTCCATGTTTGCCTGCTTCGCCCTGGCTCTTGAAGGATGCCCAGCTCAAATTCAAAAGTCTGAAGGCTCTTCCAGGAAGCATCTAGGTCAGGGTGGTCCAATGCACGGCCTGAGGGCAACATGTGGCCTTCAAGCCCTTTTTTTGTGGACCCAAGCAACATTTGACACACCCCCTGCAGCCCTCACTCTGCCTTCCTGAAGCCAAGTAAGCGAAGCTTGAGGAAGGAGGTGTGAGGGCTCTGAAAAGGTCCTAGAGCAGCGGTCAGCAAGGTTTATCTTGCCTGGGCCGGATCGGTCCCACGGAGATCCCTCTGTGGCCTAGATCTTGTGAGCACGTGCGCCCGCAATTTCCGGTGTCTGTGCATGTGCAGATGCAATTTCCGGCGCTGCAGAAGCAAGTCCCCACGCCGTGCAGCGCCGGTTTAGCGCAGCGCACGAGCGGGCAGCTCAGCTCAGGGGCGGCTTGTGGGCCAGCCAAACGACCTCCGCGGGTTGCTTCCGGCCCATGGGCCTTAGGTTGCTGACTCCTGTCCTAGAGTCCTCCTGCCTCCTTCTCAAAGCCTAGTTAGCATTTTCCCAGTTTTGGGAATGAGGTGAGAGAGCTCCAGGACCCTCTCTTAGCTGGCTTTGGGAAGGCGGGGGGGGGGATCAGATTTTGGCCTCGCTCCCTCCCCCTCACGACAAGACAGTGGGTTCTGTGTTGAAGGACTCTTGCAGCCCACTTGGCGCAAGAAGTTTGGCTGCCCTGGTCTAGGTTCAGGGTCTGATGCCTGTTCAGGAAGAAAAGAGGTCCCCAGTTGTGGAACAGCCATTGAAGGCGTCTTTCTGAAAGCAGAGAGCACTTGGTTGATTTTAATGCAGTGGTGCTGGTGTAAAGACAAGTGGTGTGGGCCAGCTGAGTGAGGCAAACACCTCCAGCGCCTGATGCTGAATGTCAGAAAAGGGCAGCAAATTGTTTAATTTATCATGGTTGTATATTTCTTGCCTCAGAGAGGGAGAAGTGTTTGTGAGATTCTCACATGTTTGGACTTGGGTATTATATACCTTGAACATAGGCTGCTGCCTACGCCAAGGCACACCCATTTGACCTTTTCTTGAGCGTTCATCCTTGAGCATTCATTCTTGCTGAAAAGCTTATGTGGAGGTTAGATTATATCTGGTCTTCATGAAGCGTTTGTTCCGATTTGTTTGTGCGGAATCTCAGTCCTGCGTTCTTCCAGGTATGCTTGTAGATTGTTTACACCTCTTATAATTAATCATTTATCCATCCCACACCTTTTGGCGCATTTGCCTATCACTTTCCTAACTACAAAAAGTCTCATTATTACCATATTTACACGAATCTAATGTGCCATCGAATCTAATGCACACCTCAGCTTTCAAAACCTTGAAACCAAAAGGGTATTTGCTGGTGCCATCAAACCTAATGCACACCCTAATTTTCACGATGCAATTTGGCAAAAAAAAGGTGTGTACATTACATTCAAGTGAATACGGTAAGTCTGATTATTATTTTTAAATGGCTATGCTCACAGTGTTTCTCAAACTTGGGTCTCCAGCTGTCATTGGACTACAACTCCCATCATGCCTAGCTAGCAGGACCAGTGGTAAGGGATGATGGGAGTTGTAGTCCAACATCAGCTGGAGTCCCAAGTCTGAGAAACATTGTAAGGTTAACAGAGCACTGTAATCCATTTTAATGTCAGAAACCTTAATTTGCTGAATCCCTTGAACCCTTTCTGCAGAATAGGGACAATTTGGAGGCATCCCTCAACACACTGCCTGGCAGTGTAGCTCTCCAGAGGTTCTCTACCAACCATACCTGTGGATGCCGGGCATTCAGCCTGGCACTGACAATTTCTCAAAGGTATGGTACAAAGGCCCATAAGACCACTACTTCTTTGCCAAAGCTAAGCAGGCCTGGGTCTGGCTGGTGCCTAAAAAGGTAAAGGGACCCCAGACCATTAGGTTCAGTCGTGGCTGACTCTGGGGTTGCGGCACTCATCTTGCTTTATTGGCCAAGGGAGCCGGCATACAGCTTCCGGGTCATGTGGCCAGCATGACTAAGCCGCTTCTGGCGAACCAGAACAGCACACGAAAACGCCGTTTACCTTCCTGCCCCAGCGCTACCTATTTATCTACTTGCACTTTGACGTGCTTTTGAACTGCTAGGATGGCAGGAGCTGGGACCGAGCACTGGGAGCTCACCCAGTCGCGGGGATTCGAACCGCCAACCTTCTGATCCGCAAGCCCTAGGCTCTGTGGTTTAGACCACAGCGCCACCCGCGTCCCCTGGTTGGTGCCTAGCTG